GTCTTACAGTTGTTTGTGAAATTTAGTGGATAAAAACGAATGGTGGTGCTTTAATTGTGTTGGTGGGAAAGGAGGACCCACTCAGGGGAGTTAGCAAACCCCTGTTCTAAACCATTGGTGCACGTTGGCTCCATCATCCTGACGGACGAGATAGCGTATGAACCTATTGTCGGTCATTGGCTCCTAAGGGACTGTATCTCTTTACGTTACACCACTGCCTTGTGGATTGAACTTTTATGTCAACTATTCGGGATATGGCCCCATAAGAAAACTATTTGCTTCGGTTTGGTCGTCCGAGCAGTATAGTATCGTAGCCCGTTTACAAATTCAATTAATTTTGTGGCACAAAATTCTAGGTGTCTCTGTGTTTTATTATTTGTATTTAAAATGTGTCGATGTGTTGTATCAACTTGAACTAATCTATGTATTTGCTAAATGTTGATGACTGAATAACCGATTTTTCCATATCTGTTAGCACACTAAGCATTCATATCATTCTAATATAGAATGCATCACGATTGACATATTTCATTTCGTTGATTCTGTGTACCCTTTGAATGCTAAACTATTATTATTATTATTATGGAGTGGACGCTACTGGATTCAAGTCCTGAAGTGTGCATCAACTCTGAAATACAGATACATACAGCTGATGTGTTCTACAAAGGACGAAATGCACATCATAAATTTCATGGTTAACCATTTTTTCACCTTTGCTAATCTTCTCATTGTTATTGTTAATTTACATAAATTAGTCTTAATTTTCTACGTAAATACATATGTATTTATATATACTTTTGTTTTGTTCATCTATTATTAATTATAGGGTGGTTATTTTCCAACTACACGATTTTGGCTTACAATGTATAATCAACAAAATATTGTATTGAAATTACAAAAATCTCGGTATGTATACACATAAATATTGTTTATCTATTTACGTGTGTGTTTTTTTTGAAAAAAACTCTTTTTGTTATGTTTTGTTGAATTTATGCCAGATAAAAGATGTAAATTAAGCTGAATTGTATAACTTAAACTACATTAGTTTAAACAAATTAATCAGATTTAAATAATTAAATAAAATATTTCTGTCATGGGTAATTCATGCACAATTACACTACTAATTGAAAGCAAATATTTTCTTTCATGTTGTATAAGTAAAACTTAACTCAGATTAATGATTTTGCTGGAGTTTCTTTTCCCTGAACCTTCCTGATCAGCTAGTCACTTTGGTAAATTGGAATAAATTGATGAAAAGACGGTTTATATATTTCCACGTTTTTAATGTTGCGATTGATCAGTCATCATTGTTAGGTGTACATCATGACCAACCTGCCTTGGTCTAGCCATTTAGTCGGAATCGGTTGTATAATGATTAGTAGTGGGATCTAAAAGATACCTTTCGTCCTGTTTGAGACTCATCAGCTGTGTACATCGAGGTTTATCATACAATTTATCATAGTGTAATCAACAATGTTTATACGAGAGTTGTTTACATGTCAATAAAAGCTGGTAGTATGCAGCGAATTAGTAATATATAGATGCTTTTAATTCAAGCTTTAAACCCTTTCCACTAGCATACACACAATGACCTTGGGGGTAATGTTAAAAACATTCAATTATCTTGTGCTATGTTAAATTCTAATGGCTCAGTAATTTTTTTTAAAAGAATTTCTGCTTCATAAATTGAGTTCATTGTTGACCAATAGAATCAGCTATTTTTTGACAGATCCTTTAGCGGATATCGTACTTCAAATTGAACTAATACTCCTCACAAATAATCTAAGGTTACGTCTTAATAATAGTTGAAATTGTTTTGGTATGCACTATGATGCTGAGATGGTGAAGATTTCCTCTTCAGGATAATTTTGATGAATTTATGTTCATTGATCTGGATGGCTTCATTATGATGCTTTCACTGTATATCTAGACCAACAAGGCTAAGACAAGATCGGTAGGACAGATTGTTAGCTAGTCGTACACAGTGAAATTCAACTGATTCACTTCAATCTGAAGCTTTTGTTGATAATACCATCTAGAAAGTCTGTGAAACGCTTCATGATGAAAGCAACCAGACCGTAGAATGTAACTCTGCCAAATACTACATCCTTGAATCTTGTCGTAATAATTTGTACTGTATGATATAACTATGTCGGATTTATTTTTTTGCTTGCTCTTTAGAATATTTAATCATGCCAGTAATTATTCCACTTTATATTATCAAAAGAAAAATAATGGACATATGTATGAATTTGAATCGGATGTAAGTTTTGATGTCTTATGTCTTTTGCTTTTTTTGCGTTTTACAAAATGTATAATGATAGTATATTCACCCGACAGATTAATTTGTCTAGCTTGACTGCTGACCGACTAAGTTGATTTAACACAACACTAAGTTTGAAAATCAAATTATAAACCTTACGCTGACGTGATAGTCGGATTTACAGATTGTAAGGACTCAATAGAGAGATCTATTGAAAGCAATATTTATCCCTTTGGAATTTATCATACCATGGTGGTTGATGGGAAAGTGGTAGGTTTTAAAACAACAAATGCTTAATTGAAAAACAAAGTCATTATACCGAGCGTGTGGTAATGCGATGATAATAAGGTGTTTCTGTCAGTTATTCAGTATGGTACATCTACATTAAGACTACCTTACCACAATAAAATAAAGAAATTAGAAATGATTGACTGCAAAAATTAAACACCTTACCCTTACGCCATGGACTTACATCATCAGTGATAAGGCCTCAAAAGTGCAGAAATAACTGATCTTACTCCTTTCCAGGTCTATAATGGTGAGCCATCCTGTCTACTTATAAGAACCATGGACACGACGACCATCTTTGTACATTTAACCACACCGGATTAATTTATAAGAAACTATACCAAAAATTTCACTGGTGTTACTGTTTTTATCTTCCAGTATTTAACATCTGAACAATTTGTAATCCTCTAATAAATAGCATGAGAGTGAATACAGTCAATATTTTGTTAAATATACTCATTTCAAATAAAATTTAAAACTTGATGGGCCAATTTGTTGGAAAATAGACTTTCCATACATTTGACTGATAAACAAGTTAAGTTAAGTTGGTTTTGCATAGTTGACCAACATGTTACTTACTGTATTACAGAATCCTGTCATATACATTATTAATCCATATAAACAAGTGAATTTGCAAATATCTCAATAATTAGTAACTAGGATTTGCTTGCAACATTTCATAATTAGTATAACCCATATTTGCAGAGAATTTGTTGATGTATACTACTTACAAATAAGTAATAGTTTCTTTGTATTGTTTCACCTTGAAATCGTGATTGAATCATTGTTAGACTACCATCCTGATATGGAACTCATCAGCAGTGCTCATCCACGGTCTGCAACTCCTGCTACTCTCAGGAATCGAACCTAGGAAATTCGGTCTTCCACACGAACGCCTAACTTCTGGAATACTGAGCTGGCCGGCATCCAATGGTGTTAATGTCTAACTCTGATCAGTCTGGTTTTTTTTAAAAGAGAAATTGTACTCATTATGCATGAAAATCATATTTAAACTAATCTTATTGATTGAGATCTAAGTGATTGCAATGTTCCATCCAGAAACCTTGTCGGAACTTCTTCCGAGTAGTAATCGATAGCAAGAATTATCAAAGGAATATATAACGTTTCAAAAAACAAATCTATGCTAAAATGGTATCTAGTTATATTGTAGATTTGTTTATTAAACTCGTTAAATATTCCTTTGATCATTCCTGATATTGATTGTTACTCCGAAGAGGTGTGATCCAAGCAGACCCGATTGCTGGATAAAATGTTGAAATTATTTCCAATATATAATATCTTCTATATATAGATAGTCAATACTTAATTTTTTTCAAATTAATCATTTGACAAATATGCTTACCGATTATGCTTACACATTGTCTACATTAATCTACTTTTTTTAAAATAGAAACTAAAGAATTGTTATTACACTGGTACAGTAGAGAATCAAACTGAAGATCATATAAATTCAGATACTAAGTCTACTTCTTATGTTGCTGTCGATACATGTTTTGGTTTGAAGTAAGTTGTTTTCACCTTTCTCTCTCTCTCTCTCTCTCTCTTTGCACATCCTTTAATTTTTTTCTTACATTTTTTTTTTGATTTGTTACTGTTTTGTATGTAGTTTAAAAAAAATGAAGCAACACTGTTGAACATGAGTGTGGCAAGTGTGTGACAAGTTATTAATTTGAAAATCTGTTGAATATGTTTCATGTAACCTATCGATTAAGTGATTATTTCCACAAATCCCCTAAACTTAGAACAAACATTTGTTCACTAGTGACTTTCTTTTCGCTGTATAAATCCTAGCGTTCTAGTAAGACGCTGTAACTACTAGGGTTCACTCTGAATTGTATCGAAGACAATGAAATGAGGGTTTTGAAAGATTATGGATTATAGTTTAGAGGTGAGGCATTCATGCGCGAGACCGAAAGTTATTGGTTTGATTCTTGCGTGTGCGATTTTGAAAGAGCGTTGCTGAGGAGTCCCGTACTAGGGAGAAGCAGTTGTCCAATAATTTCAGGTTTACGATGGTGGTTAAGCTAAGACGAGTTCGTGATTTTAAACAGTGAAAATGTTTAGTCTTTCAACAGTTATATATATATATATATATATATATATGCTCAAGAAACCCTATTAAAACTTGATTACGTTTTAGTCTTGATATTGGTTCATAGTCAGGCGCATGCGTGTAATCTTAAGGAGCGGGAACTGATGCTTTCTAGTAAATTCGTGTTCAGTTTCATAGTCTGAGACATGTTAACTCGAGACTATCCGAAATAAAATAAGTTGTTAACTTTTTATATAATGAATGTCTTTGCAGCAGATACCTTCACCAACGAACCTATTTCATTAGTTACAATCAACCAATAACAAATCCAAAATTGAGAAATACGATGACTCAGTACTATAATCATCCTACTATATACTCCTCTTCATTTACCTACCATTTCACATGAAATCAAACCTATAATCCTTCGTTTTGTTGCACGTGTTCTATAGAGATAAGTTTGATTTATAGTTAGTAAACTATCAGAAACTAAGAACCACTGGACTGCTGCGATTTCATTCTAGTGTGAGAGTCATTAGCAGAGCATATCCATTATCCCACTAACACTTTTGAAGATGGTTGCACTATATCGTCAATATAGAATTTAAGATCCCCACTTAATGGTTTAGAGATTAAACGTCCACAGCGAGACCTGCCATCTCTGGATTCACTCCTTATTTGAGTTGTATGCTAAGCAGTAGTAGTCCCCCGTACTAGTTAGAAGAAACCATTCGTTTCTTGTCGATTTTTAATGGTGCTCTAAACTATATATATAATTTCGTTTTCACTGATGTCAATCTATGCACAAAAGATTACTTATCTAATAAGCAAACTTTTTCTACAGACCAATGTATCTATGTTTTAAAACAATAAAGTTTTGAAAAGAAAGTTATAACTAATATATTTATTCGTTTTTATGTTGTTGTTGTTGTTGTTGTTGTTGTTGTTGTGATTGTTCCTCACTTCCTTTCTTTTTTCTCTTTAGTGGTATTATTCATTACACTAATCAAACATACGGTATACGACCATTACATTGTAAACAATGTGATTCTACAGCCATTCCGCATATATTATTTCCACATCGATCAAAGTTGATTAATCGAGGTATGTGGATTATTTAAATTTGTTTTTCTCTGTTTATTTGAAAATTCGTGTAAAATTTTTTTACCATATACAATCCCCTATGTACTCATATTTAAGTCACAGCATATATTTGTATGCATGCCAGGAGGTCGGACTACTGATACCATTGCCCCGAATACTTAAACTAATGTTGGTATAAAAGACATGATTTAACTGGAAGTTGAATAGTCTTATCATAACAAGTAATTTTACATTTCTTTCATTCCTCCTTAATATTTTTGAAAGGTGTTTACAAGTGTCTTGAAAATTAGTCAAAAAAAAACGAAACACAGAGATACATTTATTCTTTGTGATAAAGATTTTTCTTCTTGAATCATTCTGTCTATACCTGAAATTCGTTTTGTTTTATTTACTACCGCTGATGCTGTTTCGGCATCATACTCTACAAATATAATATAGAAACTTGAACCTTTGTCACACATTTACAGGGTTTCACATCTCGACGTAACTGTAATTTATGGATGTGACCTTTGAGAAAGACGTTGAAGAGTGACCTTAAGAAAATTCACCTGCTTATTAAGGTCAAAATAGGGTTATAGATTAATGTGAGGCGTTAGAATTGGGAGTTATAGTTTTGAAATTGATGTTACAGTTTTTTTCATCCGGAACTGACATTATTTGTTGTTTACCGATTTGGATAAATGAGTTTCACATCAAAATCCAAAAACTTGCTATCTGAAATTTCATTAGTTTGCTCGTAAATGTTTATTCCGTTCACATTGGTTATTACTATTCAACTACGTTAGATAACCTCCTATAATAATTGTGTTTTTTTGATTCAATGATATGAAACTACAACTCCAGAGCATACACAGCACATGTCCCAACCACCTCAACTGATGAAGTTTCATCACTTCGTCTACTGACCTGTCATCCTTACCTAGAACTCGTTTCCTAACGACAGTATTGCTTACTCGGTTGTCTCACGGTATACGAGAAATGCTTCTCCGACATCTCTGATCGAATACTAGTAACCTGCGAACATCTTCTAATCTTAACGGCCATGTTTCACTTCCATATAGTAGCACGGAACGAACTGCTGCTCAGTACACCCGTCCTTTGGTTAGCGAACGGATATCACGCCTACGCCATAAGTGACGCAAGTCGGCAAAAACCAGGCGAGCTTTCTGTATCCGAGCTGAGATTTCGTCAGTCACCAGGCCATCGGCACTGATGAGACTCCCCAGATAAGTGAAGCGATCAACACGCTCGACTACTTCACTCCCTATCACTAGTTCCGGTACCGATGAAACCCAATCTTGAAGCAGCATTGTGCATTTCGAGTGGGAAAACCGCATCCCATATTATAGTTTTAATTCGGTGTAGACATGTAAACACTGAATAAACCTGATGTAACTAGAAAAAGATGATAATACTAGTGTAGGAATAAGCCAAATCCAGGTAGAATACATATTGTTTATGCAATATATGTACACGTTCTTAGTCGTCTGCAATCCACGCTTAGTATAGACTGTCTAATCCCGCTCCGCTTTTGATCTTTAAATAGTGTGAACATGCCGTGCATTTCAATCTCGTGGAACTCTTCTCTTGATAATAACTTCCATGCGACTGTGCTTTGTTGAATAGTACTCGGAAACATTCATATAATTTTAAAAAAAAGAAACATTTTAAGAAATACTACAACAGTCAAACAATAAATTAACTAAACTTGTAAGCTTGTAATCTGAAACTAGCGAAAGATGATTCTCATTAAACAATCACATAAAACTAGAAATAACTAAACAATTGTTTGGTTGGTTACAAATCCTGGGCTCGAACCCTATAAGCCAGTACGTACTTTTGCTTGCTTGATTTCATAGTAGAACGAGATAGTTGTGCAAAGTTTTCCTAATTTATCAACAATATTTGTCATTAAAATTAGTCCATATTATATAAAACTATGATAATAAAATCTAAAATGATTTTATTCAATAAATAAAAAATCTATTAGTTATTGTATGAAATTTTTAATAATAATAATAATAATAAATAAATAAATAAAATTGACAGGTCAAACTACTCACTACTACCACCAATCAGTCAGTCAGTCAGTCAAATAAATAAATGACATATTAATAGTGTAACATGATTAAACATGACTAAAAAGTAATTTATTTTGTATAAATTCTACTTTTATTCCTTGATTAAAATTGTATCAATAATGACAAATGTAACCTATTTATATTCATTGATATTTATTCAATTGACATTGATAATAGTAAACAATAAATAAATTAATTAGTTCATTTATTGTACACACTGTAAAATTAAAACTCATTGACTGCATACACATACACTTACGGTCATATACAGTATTTAAACTGGTTAATATTATTACGAAAGGATTGTCAAGGTTGTTTAATTATATTGTGTACATGATGGACTAATAACACTGGACAACTGTGATGTTCAATGAACTCTGCATATGAAAATGAAATTTTCAGATCTATCCACATGAACATGTCATTATTGCACATCCCAATGTGCTGGCTGATAAACACAAATATTATGAAAGACGAAGCATGAAAATTACACTTATGCATTAAATAAATGCGAAAATCCCTAAAAAAATGCTGGACACCTGACGTTTGTTTAACATTGATAAAATTTTGCGTAGCATGGCACAAAATAAAATCTAGTCACTTTTAAATTTGGCTCAGAAATTCGAAATTCGTTGTGTAGTATACACTTGTACCATTGAGATGCAAGGTGGTAGTTAAAGTTAATCTTTAGGAAATGCTGGATGACCTGGTTTTTCATGCTATTCGACATCACTCGTCTGTAATGCGTACCTGTAGTCTTGAGATGGCTGATGCTCGCTGACAAATTCGATCCCGTATCATTCAGCTTTACAGTCAGTGATGTTACCACTGAGTTATTTGAGAAACGAATGGCCTCTTACAGGAATAACATGTATTTCCAGTTGTATGACAGTTGAATTGGGATTAGTGTAATACTTATCAAATCCTTTTTTATGCTAATCGAATACTATATTCCAGGTTACTATACGACCACTACTAGTCTATCTGATTTGATATCGTATGCACTATGTTGAAATGTAAGATAGTGATTAATGGTTAGTCTACAAGAGAGACCCTGGATCTAGATATTGGTGATTTTTCTTAATAGCTGTCTTTGTTATTTTTGAAATCAGGAATCGAATGCTGTAGTTCCCTCCGTCCTACTTTATGGCTGAGAAACATGGCCAGTCAGATATTCGTAGGTTGCTTGTCTTAGATCATCGGTGTCTCCAAATCACTGCTCGTGTATCCTGAGACAACCGAGTAAGTAATGCAGCTGTTAGGAAGTGAGTACTAGGTAGGGATAGTAAATCAATCGATGAAGTATTGAAACTCCATCAATTGAGGTGGTTGGGACATGTGTTACGAATGCCCAACCACCGACTGCCTCGACGAGTGATGTTTTGTGTTGAAAGAGTAGGTTGGAAGAAAGTTAGGAGCCACCGAACCAAAACATGGCACAAATCCATGAAGTCACAAACCAGTGAACTGAGTCATGTCGGCAGGTGTCGACTACCTGGTCCGCGAGATGATTGTAATCGATGGTTAGAGACCCTGAGTAATATGGCTCAAAACGGTTTGCGATTGCGCAGGTGCATACATTATTTTTGTTCTCTCAAATCATAACCTTCTGAATTCCTTATCACCTCTATCTTTCTCTTTCTAAATTTACCTCACTGAATTATACTTCTTGAATAACATCTTCGAACCCTAACCTCTCCGATTACTTCTAATACTTTGACTACCTCTACTACTATGGGATTTGAATTGACAATCGCATCTCTGTGCTAATGTTGTTGTATGGCAACTTGAACTGATGTACGTACATACGAAGTTCTACGTTGCTGTTAATTGAGTGGTTGATTGAAACTGCCAAACTACCATTAAAAACCTGGAAGCACTGGACGACTGTTTCGTCCTGGTATGGGACCCATCAGTTGTAGTATGCATCCACGACAGATACATATGAGTTGTACGATTGTTTATTGTAATTGATTATCATATTGAAAAGAAAACTAGACAGACATAAAATGGTTGAAAATCTTATTCTATCGGTAAACAATCAAACTATAATAATGTATACAATACTTTGTTTTGCTTAATAAAAAAAAAGTATATTCTCCTGTATGTTTTTTTCTTATTGAATTAATTACAAAAACTGAACACATTAAAGAGTGAGAGAGAGAGAGAGAGAGAAAGAGAATGAAGTGATTCAATTCTTAATTTGACTTGTTTTACATAATTAGGCAATAATAATGATAATAATCATAACAAAAAGACTAAAAAGTATTCATTATTGTTTAATCGCATTCAAGTATGTATGATCAGGTATTATTTGTGTTTGTCTCTGTGTATAAATGTTCGTATATGTTTGTGCGTATGTATGTGTGTGTGTGTAGGAAATATTCTTGATTCCTTTTTTTTACTTTTTAACCATCATTATGTCTTTCTTTGTCTACGTTTTTTTCATAACTTTTGTCTCCTTTTTACCTTTTCTTCCTCCTTCACTTGCCTCATTGTGTTCACTTCACTCTCTCTCTCTCTCTCTCTCAATTTTTGGATCCAGTTTAATTTTTTTTTATGTGTAGTTTTTTTTTTAGTTTTCTTCATTTTATTAATAATCAGTAAATTAGTAGACATTACTATTTATTTATTTTAACCTTTGTCTTATTTAATGTATTTTGTAGTTTACACTTTTTTTTAAAAAAAAATCCAATCATTATACATTTTTAGTTGATTTTTGTATCTATGGATGTGTATGTATGTACATATGTAATTTGTGTATGAAATGTTGTGTTATGTATGGGTAGTATGCATTAGGAACTGTTATTAGTTGAAGGATTGTCGGGATTAATATGATATTGGACAACTAGTTTTATACTTGTTCGAGATTTGAATGTGCCATTTTTATTTAGAATGATACACAAAATCGTTTAGTGG